CAACAGTATAATCTTTGTTCCACAAAATCATATTTGTTGTTGTTAAGGGGGTTAAAAAAAAAGCAACAAAAATTTTTTTCAAACACCATCACCACCATAAAAAAAAAAAAAAACAACACTGGTTAAAATGGCAAAAATTCTTTCGTAAATAGTACTGACTGATAGTTCAACAAATATGTATTCATGGATTTGCTATTGAAAGCAATTGAATACAATAATAAAAATTGCAGTAACATAGACTTTATCAAAAAAAAAAAAGAATCAGATATTTTAAACATCGTTTTGAAAAATTGACGCTAAAGTCTAAAATTGCAGTAAACTACCAATAACCAAATGTAGTCAAAGTAGCATTTCCAGACAGCAAATTTCTTATCAGAAACATTCTATTTTGTATTTAAATCACAAAAAAAAAAAATTTTTTTTTTTTTTTTTTGAAAAAATATTTTCATTTGTGACTTTTACCTTCACAGAATTAGTAGCAACTATATATAATTGGTAACAAAATAGCCATTGCATATAAAATCGTTTTTTCCTTGTTGCAACTAGACTTGGTAACCTCTGAGGTCTGTGTGGATGTTTTTGAAAATGTTGAAACTGAACCTGACGTCGTATCCTCTTCAGCAATAGTTGTGCTTATATTTTCAGTTACCAATGGCTAAATAAAGTAAAAAAATATTTGTAATACAGATTGTGAAAATTTAGAATTGTCATTTTTACAGTCTAAGATTGAATATTGATCAGACTTTTGAAGTGCAAGACAGGTTACAACTTACAGTATCTTTCCAGGGATGTTTATCAACATTACAGTTGCTAACGTTCCAAGCTTCAGATTCTGATATTTCAATTTTTTGAAATCCTGTTCCATTAATCATTCTTGGAATGATGATTTTAATGATCTAAATGCTTTAAAATTAGTTTATTTAGAAGTTTACAACAAAAACATTACGAGCATTTGACTGTTAAATCAACACTTCATTTACATTCTGCCAAGTACTTTGTCCAGGTCTACCCTAACTTTTTTTTTTGCAGAGTAGAACTTACCTACAGTGAGCCCCAAACCTGATCATTGCAGAACAATCAAAGATTAGTCATTGAATAAACTACAGATTGAACAATAATAAAAAAAGGTTTATATTATTCATAAACAAAAAATAAAAAAAAAATTTTTTTGGAAAAAAGTAAATATGGCAAAAAAAAAAGAATAATAATAAAAAAAAGGGGAAGAAAGAACCAAAGCACCAATGGATAACGTTAAAGTTTTATTTTCAATTTTAACCTTTTTGTTAGTTTAGCATAAAATGGTTTTTTTTCTTAGTATTTTTTAAAGTTTTTCTGGCAAATAATGACTTTTATTGCATTTTTTTTTTTCAGAACAGCAGGTAATGAATAACAAACCTTTTCTCGAACAGACTTAAGAGCTGGCGGGTCACATGTCATCGGTTGTCGTAGATCCATAGCATGAGCACTATTTGGTATTAAAAACGAATAAAGGCCTCTCATCCAAGGATCTTCACCAAGGGATGAATTTGTTACACCACCAGTTGCCCATGGATCTAAGGCACCATTGCTGAAAAATTAAGATAACATTAATTTAGATGTACACTACTTTAGGTAGCTATTATTAAATTTTTTTTTTTTGCTCCGCTGATAATTGTATGCTAAACTACAGAATTTTTTTTTCCATAAACCAGTGAACAGAATGCACTGAATATAGGAGTTCTTGAAAATTAGAAAATTATTTACGTGAAAATAATGTTGCTGTATGATGAGTAGTCGAAACCAAACTGGTCTGCAATAGCCTTAACATTGTACATGTCACGAGTATAGTTTTTACTCTCCAAGCTCTCCTCACATGTTTTTTCTGCCGAGTTCAACAGGCCACATTCATTACATTCACTTGGAATAAAGTCATCCACATCACCCAGCGCACATTTTTGTATAATCCACTCTGTGCATTGCTGAATAATGCTGTATAAAGTTTGACCAAGAACAATTGATAGTTAATAAATAATACCAAATATTCCAACTGTCATAAAATAATTAATGTGTTTCCTTTAACCTGCCAAGTTAATGCCGTTGAGCGCGGTAATTTAGAAGCAATATTATCACCGCATTCCGGCTTTATACAGTGGTCAGTCGTTTCGCCATAATAAATAGCAATGGCACTATAAAGGTTTCTTAAAATTTTGTCCGGATTAGCAGAGTTGAAAACCAAATGCTCGCACGCTTTCTGTAGTGAAGAAATATTAATCTTGCTTAAGAAATTTTATGTTACTAAGCTCACTGAGTGTCACCGCAAAAATCAAACAAAAATGCTTGCTTTAAAGCCTACTTCTGTACTATATTTAAAAAAAAAAAAAAAGAAAAAAAAACAAACTTGGACAGGAAAAGCTGTATTATTTTCTGTTTTGTACGGGTAATTGAGAACTGCCATTTGTTCTAGAGCTTCCCGAATAAACTTAACCAAATACTGCTTGTCTGTTTTGTTAATCAAAGTAAAGTTGGTGCGCAGATGAAACACTTCATTCAACTTTGTAAAGTTACCTTCTGAATTTAGTAAATTTAGTCAGTGCAAGCAACAAATGAGCAATAAATTACCGAGTCATAATTCCTACCTTCAGAAAGAATATCCACCCATTTAAATCCTTCACTTACAGCTTTAGACGAACAATTATAATTTTTATAAATTTCTGTTACACGTTTTGAAAATGCATCCTTAGTTACGTTTCCTCCAGCGAAGTACATCAGCGGAACAGATGATGCCAAGGCGCTGAAACATTGCTTCAGCACTTTAAAAACTGTCTCTAACTCTTATAAGACAAAAAAAAAAAATGCCTTGAGAGTCCGGCGAATAAATTCG